CCATGTTAGGGTTATGAACCGCAAAAATCTGAAACTTGCCGAGACACCGAGACACCGAGACACCGTTTGAAAATCCAAGACTGGGACTTCAGATTTTTGACTCTGAGAAAGAGACAGACAGAACTAAAATTTCCGAATCCCACGGTTTTCTTGGTATTATTCAACACCCTTGTTGAATTCTTGTGTACCAAGCGTATGGATCTGTTGTCTGCAGCGTTAAACCTAGCTGTCAGCAAGTTTGATTCGAGTGTCTGAAGTCGGTATTGCTTCATCTGTTATCTCAGACTAGACGGCAAATTGATGTCCATTGGATGCAAATTATTTTTACTACGACATAAGAATAACTGACCCAAATCTGTTACCTTAAATAGTTTCTATGAAACAAAGTTTACAGCGATAGTATTCTGAGCCAATAGGCAGTGCATGATAGTGCATTTTATTTTTGTTTGTCTGAGCCCGATAAATCCGTCGAAAGTTTTTTCTGTTGTCCGTTGTAGTCTACTTTATTTTAACGATTGTCAGCACTCCAATTGGTGATAACAGAGAAAGTCTAAAGGCGTTGGGTAATATTATTAAAATCTATTTCAGTGTAGATCAAGGGAAAGCGTTCGTGAGAGAGTCCCCTGAGATAGAACGCCAGGGCCGTAGCATGAAAAACTTATGACTGAGACAACGTCCATGGTTAAATTATCTTCCTAGGTATTTAGTTTTATTTCCCCCTTCAAAAAAAAAAGAAAAAAATGACTGAGGCAAGTGCCTCGGTTTGCCTCATACTGGCTACGGTCCTGAACTCCAAAGCGAAAACGCCGTTCAGAAGAGTATCAAAAGATCTTTGAATATTCAGTTGCGTGATAAATCAGGGGCACCCAACGGATCGTTTCGGTAAATTATCTGTTCGGAAGGCTTTNTGATAAATAAACAGAGGGTATATATATCTAAAGATTTTTTAATTGCCGGATATCGGCTCTTTCTCCGAATTAGACCCATGACCTCGACATAATTGGCTGATTTTCTTACACTGGCTAATTAGCTCTGATTGGAATCCGTTGGTGGTAAATCAGGTGCAGTCAGGGTTTAATTTGCTAAAACGAAACCACTATCAATGGATGAATACAGGTTAGCGTGAGGCAAGTTTGCAATACATGTATTGGTTGCATTTCAAGATGTTTGTGAACAACGTAGACACCGTATATCTCCAGAATTAAAAGAACTTCGATTATGATCGTTTCAGGGGCCCGTTTCTCGAAGGTCTCAAAAAAGCTTTCGCACCCGGGAAAGCCATAGCAAACAGTCTCGAACCATATGATTACGAAGCTGTTTTATTCACGTATTCTTAATATGAACACAGGTTCCCTTCATACAAGAAGTTTCAGACGTGTACACCTCTCCGTTTTTAGGTACAGATGAACTAAAAATGGCTTTACGGGCCCGAAAAGTTGCCGGGGTGTTCGAGAAACGGGCCCCAAGCCCGGGCTTTCAGGTCTTTCAAGCTTGAACCCGTTAAATATTACAGTAATCCGATACGAGGCTTACAGAAATAACCAATCTTTGAGGGTTCCGACTGTCATTCTAAATCACGTGGGTTAGGAGAAGGATGTTTGTGGTTAGTAGTAAAAGCAAAAATGTTTGAGAGTTTTCGTGTTTTTAAAGCAAACGTCCTTATTTTGTACTATAAAATCAATTGAAATTCCCGGTAGTTGAATAGTTGTTGGATAAATTGAGTCCTGCGTGCTTTATTGCAAGGATTCCTATTACAAGGATTATACAATGAAAGAGCTGACATCTGTCCAGTACTTTAGTCAACTATTGCCTATCTTATCTTCTTTCATTGTGCATATGGCAGTTACCTTATACGCGTCTGCCCCCAAACTGCCTGAAACAATATGATTTAGCTTCAACAGATAGTAGGCAGAGCGACCTAGGTATGGAAAAACGTGTGATTTTGAATTAAACAGAAGCTGAGGTTTTGAGAGCCATCAGTCAGTGCACTCGGTTCTATTTTCAAGGAGTCGCCCGGGTTCGTGACTCAGCAGCTAAATAGATAACAACACTTTATTATTACGGGGCGCTATAATTACAAAGCTATTTTTGTGTGGCTTCATAAAAGCATAACCCGTAAACAATACATTTGAAACGGTGTTCAAAAACGATTAGCCACAGAAAAATTCTTCGATATCGCTGTAATAATACGCCTTTCCGACTCCCAAAACCTAAGTGACCACTTCTTTAGCCAGCATAGATCTTGCCAGGCGAAATTCTTTACTACGTAGCCTTGATCTGACCTTGACCAAAACAAGTTATGCCAGACGATCAGGGATTGACATATCTGATAAATTCCAACTTAAATGAAATTATTTTATTTTCTTTCTGAAGGATATTTTCGCGCAAAAGATAATTTCTCGCTTTCAGAGAGGGAAACTTCAGCGCATTTTGTTTGCAACACTCTTAACTTATCTTACTTATCCCTCTTTATCTTACTACACCGTAAAACAACACCGTCTCGATTAAAACACACAAATAACGTTAAACTGGTACACCTTTGACTTCAAAACCACTTAGAGCTTCCTTCTATTGACTTTTGCACTCAAGACGTGCTTTATAAATTGTTCGTTTTTCGTGAAGAGTTCCAGGATTAGTCAGGGCTCTTACGTTTTGGGGGTCTAAAATCATATTCAAATAAAAATTGCACCTTGATAAATCTTCCGGTTCAATATTTAAACTGAAAACAGTCAAAGAAGCCCTAGCGGCGAAAACGGAATAGGGTAGAAAAATACGTCACTAACTTACTGCAGTGCAATAACACCAGCTTACTTACAAAGGGCCACAAATTAGGACAAAGATAATCGTGCTAAAACAATTTCTAAGTAATTTTCGTACTTCAAATTACTTCTTCTACGTGCGGCCAATGAAGACGATATAAGGAAGAGATACAAGGTACACATCCGGAATTCTGCACGTGTGTAACTCGTGACAGCCAAGGAATGCTTAAAATCCTGTCATTCAGCGTTTCACCGCAAGCCACGTTAAATGATCTTTAAATGATCTAAAAATTTAAGGGCGGGAAATTTCCACAGCAGGGTAACAATAATAGATAGCGCCTCCACGCTTTGTGCTCCAGATTACAAACTTAGTCAAGCAATCCGGTAACGCGTCTCCGTTGAAAAGTGTAAACATGTTTATAGAAAGGGCTAAAAATGACTACGGTCCTCGGAAGAGTCTTACTCCGGCTCCGGAAAATTACTACTCCTCTATCGCGAGGTCTGCAAGAGGAAACGAAGTTCTAAATATTGCCTCCTTGGCCATGAATGGTAGCGTTTATGCCAATCCTGATCAAGTCAAGCCAGGACAGAGAGACATGCATTTAGAACCAATGTATATCGACGTCGTCGAGAGATCCAAACCAAGAAAGAAATCTCGAAAGATGAAATGCCTTGTCGCTTGGCTGGTGATTTTGACCTTGACGTCGCTCGCTTCTTTAGCGTTCACGATCATCATCTTCTACAGCACGAGTGCGGGCGCTGTGAAAGCAAAGCTAGGCGGAAACTCCGATTCACCAAAAGATGGTAAGGGCGTACGAAATGTAATCAAAGAGGAGAGATCCCGAAAAACTCTTTATCGTATAGATATGTTCAACGTTTATTAAGGTGTTGAACTTGATTATTATAACCCCAGTTAATGAGCTTATTTCCTTGAGCGGGGAAAGAGCACTGGTACTGTTTGACTTTCAAGAAACTTTTGTTTTACGTTTCAAAATCTGACCATCGTTTTGCTGCTTCCATTCCGTAATCTTAGTTTCTACGAGTCAATTTTTCTCTTTTCTACTCAATTGAGAGCACCCAGCCTCAAAAGAAATTAATACAACGTAGTATTTCCAGTTTTTCTTGTTGTCAAAGGGTAATACGAGAACAGCAGGAAGAAGAAGAATGTTAAAACATGTGTGGTTATGCAATTGTGCTTTGCTTCGTCACGCTACCTAACAATGTATATGTATGTTTACAACATTATTTTAAGTGAGTATCTATTCCAAGGTGATTTTCACCAGATAGGAAGCTTATTTACAAAGAAAAAAAGTTTACCGCTCTTTAGCATGGTATTATTCTTGTTAGTCCAACATACTTGAGCAATTCCAACATTTTGCACTTTGTTCCCAAAGTCGTGGAACAGTTGCACTTTGTATTTGTGTTTTTGTTCTAACTGCGGGGGATATCCTGCACTCCTAGTTTCACACGGAGCAGCGCCAAAACATCCGTGAACTGTAATGTCTGTGTTTGTTTTCCATGTCAAAACGTTGAAAACTCTTCTATTTTTGTAAAAACGACCTACCGACCAACCGCGTGTAAATTTATGTTAAAATTGGTGCGTTCTTACATGAGCTTTGTGTCGTAGTTTAAAGAAACTCAGAAACTTTTCAAAACCTGATCTTGTTTCTTTTTCGAAAACGCCTTGAAAAAGTACTCGCTAAATGCCAGACTTTTATAACTCTATATAAAGAAAACTAGCACCAGGTGCCGACGTAATAGTGCGGGTAAATTGAAGTTACATTTTGATTTCGAAATAAACAATTGATTCTCCCCTCCTTTTCAAGTAGTATTATTTAAAGAATGGAAGATATATTCTCTGTGTCTCTATTCAGTTATAGAACCACTTTTGAAACTTTAGGAGAACTCGAAAAAGCTAAAGAAACAGTCGCCTTCGGCTCGTGCTCGAACATCATCTATCAGACTTTCTTCCAAACTTCCACAGGGGTCTCTATTAAACAATTAGATTATGAGCTCGAGATTTCCGGCCGGCGATAGTACACGAGAGCGCAGCCCGAGTCAACTATCACGCATAGAAATCGAGAGCGAATATTCTCATTGTTTTAGTGTAAGCTGATCTACTAGTCGTTCAAAACTTTATCTAAATCCTCTTTGCATGCAGACACTTCAAAAACGCCAAGAAGCGACCGTCATTTTGTTAACAAGGGCACACTGCTACGTTATTCACTATCTATCACAGAACAGATAGTGAGTAGCGTAGCCAATCAGAGAATGGCATTCGTGATAGAACGCTAGTAAGTCTTTACTAAAACTCGATAAAAACCGCGACGAATTTGTCAGTTTTTTAAAAATTAACCTTACGAATTACAGTATTATTTTACTGCAAACTTCCAATTTTTGCACGTATCATGCTTTCAAAGCTCATTCCAAACTGTCATCTGCGTATAAATCTGTCGATTTTCTTCGGTGGTGCAATTCAGCAAGTAGACTTTATTTTCAAGTGGAAACATTTTGTTGCTTATTGAAGGTCGGTGCTGAGACACTTCAGTATTCATAGGCATCAGCGCGTTTTGGCTTGTATCTTAAAAAAACAATAATGCTAAAAGAAAAAGGATGTTTATGTCTTAGTAATGAAGAGCTCAGTAGCGCTTAATGTTACGTGTTTAGGCCCCTCCATTCTTGCCATATGGTTCTCCTATAAATTCCGAGACAATCGAGCACTGACACCCATATGGCTAGATGACCGCTCCTATACTCTGTAATCTTCAATATTAGTTTCAGTTCGGATTCCTCTAAACATCACTTTTAAATTGTCATCATGTGCGAATATTAGAAATAAGTCGATATAAATATTTTCACGCAATTTGAGAAACACTCAGAGCAAAGAACAGCAGAAGCTTCACAAAACAACAGAAGAAACAGGAAAATCTATAAGAAGGGTCACCTTTCTTGCTTCGGACAAAAATTTAAAACGTGAGGGGGATATTTTTTATCAAAGTTAAATCCTTATTAATTTGTCCCAAATGAAGATCTTAGGATACTTACTGTTTGCAGTAAGCAACGTTCAGAAGAAAATTAGAGGGCCTAGATGTCTATATACATTTTTTCGTCAATATCATCTTAAAACCACTGTCTTGTCTTTTCCTACGATAAAACAGGATCACCCTGAGCAACGAAATATGACATTATCACTTTTCAAGAGAAATTCAAGAGAAATCGCAAATGTTACAGTAGCTCAGTTATGACGTAAAACTAATGCAGCAATCTAGTCGCCTTTTAAGCTTTTAAGTGTACACCTGGTTAAACTAATTCAGATTAAAGGTGTTAGTACTCCGGACGAACAAACGCCTAAAGAACCGGACTTTGTCCGTTCGATTAAACAAAAAAATCGTTCAAAACGAACACCAAGTACACGACATATGGATACAGTTGTGCAAAGCTTTGACGGGTTTTTTGCGGAGCATAAATGGCATTTTTGTGTCCTTTTACGCCAAGAAAATAATTTTATTTTTTCGCCACAAATACGTGGGATTTAATTGTTATATTAATAAGGCAATGAATTTAAGAAGAACAACGACCTAATAGCCATCGTTCAAAGAAACCAAGGTCAATATCGCAGTTGGGAAACAGGAGCAAATACATGGAATGTGTTTTGATGGAGAATACTTGTGTCTGTGCACGAAGAGCGAAGCCGCTTTTAAAATACCGGTGTTGTATACTGTATATTATATACTGCTACGCACGGGCGTCGACCATCGGCGATTCTAGTGCATTCGCCTACAAAATATCGCAAGCATTCCCTGTAGTCTGATTGGTTCTCTAGTCCAGGTATTATTACACGTCATACAATCACTTATTATGCTGAAATGAAGTTTATTTTAGGTAGTATAAAATTTCGAAACTTGCAAAACTAGCTTTTAATACTTTTTTAGTGGCAGTTCGTGTTTTTGGCGGGCAGGATAGAGGCGGTTTCAACCACGTGCCTATCACGTGGGGAACACGATGAAACAGCAGGTATTAGGGAAAATGCACCGTAAGAGCTAAACATGTAGTGAGCATAAGGTTTTCCTCACGACGGTTTGCATCCTGAATTGAACCGGTTGATCAGGCAGTGTTTATAATAGTAAGCTAATCCCATCTGTTTTGTAGAGTCGAGTGACACCTTAAGGTGATTCCTTAGTATTGTATTGCGCAGCCCTACTGCGCACGATTTTGGCGTCATTAGTGCGCGCATATGAGCGCGTGCCCGTACAAAAGGTGAGAGATTTCCCTGAAATTGAGCTCGATAGCGAAATAAATGCTCCTTTTCTCTTAAACGAGCACGGTGACCCCCACTTTTTATTTCATAATTTCAATGAGAACAATATCCGCAATAACTGAGTGAGAAATCGGTAGAAATCTATGGCTACTTTTTGGCAAATGAAATGAATACTATAGAGGAAGACATAACGGGCCCAACAGCGCATGTCCAAATTATGTTTCCTTTAAAGGATAAAAAATGCAGGGTATTTGAAGACATTTTTTCTGGGACGTAAATAAATAAATAATCAAAGAAAGTCAAACTCTGTGTGATATACCACGCTGCATTGAAAAATAATCGAGCTTATTTGTCGCGCGCGGATATTACCAAAAGTCGCCCAAATGACCGTATTTGTCAGCTTTGTGGCGTGAAAACAAGCACGGTGACCCCTCTTTTTACTACGTTTATAATATCTCCTTGTCCTGTAACAACAGCATACGAAGTTTCATCGGAAATCTATGGCGGGTTCTTCTACTAGGGAATCACCTTAATACTTGGGTATGCCCTCTTGGTACTATTTGTGAATTTCATACCCGAAGTCATATTCACTTACTTTGATGATTCCTGTTGTGGCTACGATACGCTTCAGTATTTGACGAAGTAATGATTAATAACATATTTGTAGGCAATTTTGAAAAACCAATGACCTACAAAGGTAAATCCTCTATGTTTTATGTATTTTAAGGCGGTGGGTACCCAGGGTGCCACAGGGGTTTCCGCGAGAGCGACGATAACTTTCAGTAATGGTTGACGACGTTTTGTTGAGAATTTCAAAATTCTATTGTTGTTTTGCAGATGAGAGTCCTTCACTGGAAGTAAAATCCTCAGGTTATCCTTTACGAGAAGACTTACTCGACAGAATGGACCAGATATCCAAGAATTTGACGTTTCTACAAAAGAAAGTGGTAAGACGAATTCCAATAAAATATTAGATATAATTGATTACTCTTCTGCCTGTGATTTAACATCTATCTTAATCAAAGTTCATAATTATGTGTGAGTCTTTATCCTTGTACCGGTCCTAAAATGACCAAGATGTAGTCGTCACGAACATTTTAACTTTCTGAAAAAAATCTCTTTGGCAACCATATGTGGCAAACGAAAAACCGAAAAAAAATGCCTTGGAAGGTTAACAAATACTAGAAATCAGGCCCTTTTAAGATTATCCTTGGAATCTTAGTGTTTTCGATAACGTTAATTAAGGTGGCTTACTCTAGTTATTCTGAGACTCGCTAGCGCGTACTACGATTGCCTGCCAGATTCAGTAATATTCACGCGTGCACAAATGGCGCAAGTAACGCTAATTAAGAAAAAACCAAAACAACTTCAGTACTTGAAACGCGTTAAAAACCTTTGGCATACATAGCGATAGTTTTAAATTGCTTTAAAACCAGTGTTCAAGCCTAGCACGAATGAAATATGACAAAAAAGAAATAAAAAAAAAACTGGTAAAGGAGTTCTTATTTACTCTTGCTTTCTCGCACGCGATATATGGCGTCACATGAGCACGCGCTTAAATGAAAGGTATACGCGGGTCAGTTCCCGCGCAAAGCTGTAAAAACCTGTCAGTGATCCATGATTACTCAACGACGTACCAGACAACCCGTGATGAAATTTTCTCAATTGATTTGCAGTAGTGAATCGTGTTCAAAACCACCTTTTAAAATAACTCTGTAAGGCAGTTTTTGAGCTATTTTTGAAATAGGCAAAATTTCACATTTTTCTTTAATATCCATGGATGTTTAACCAGATTTCTAATACCTGAAACTTTGAGGTGGGGTAATACGGATAGATTTTGAGAAAAACGGGATTAAAATTTCTATAGTCCAATCTCTCCTGGGCACTGGGTCGTTTATTTTGGCCATTTATTACAATAACGTTTTAATTGTTCAAGTATCACATAACGTGGTAAAAGACTTCACAAGACGGTAATTACAGCAAGGATTAAAATCTAAGAAATTTTCCGAAAGAGTTAAAAGCTTAACGAGAAGAACAAGAGGAAGACATCACGTCTTATAGCNCGTTAAACTGGTACACCTTTGACTTCAAAACCACTTAGAGCTTCCTTCTATTGACTTTTGCACTCAAGACTTGCTTTATAAATTGTTCGTTTTCCGTGAAGAGTTCCAGGATTAGTCAGAGCTCTTACGTTTTGGGGGTCTAAAATCATATTCAAATAAAAATTGGACCTTGATAAATCTTCCGGTTCAATATTTAAACTGAAAACAGTCAAAGAAGCCCTAGCGGCGAAAACGGAATGGGGTAGAAAGATATGGGGTAGAAAAATTCGTCACTAACTTACTGCAGTGTAATAACACCAGCCTACTTACAAAGGCCCACAAATTATGACAAAAATAATCGTGCTAAAACAATTTCTAAGTAATTTTCGTACTTCAAATTACTTCCTCTACGTGCGGCCAATGAAGACGTTCAGGTGCGTAATAGCAAAGAGAGATACAAGGTACACATCCGGAATTCTGCACGTGTGTAAATCGTGACAGCCAAGGAGTGTTTAACATCCTGTCATTCGGCTTTTCACCGCAAGCAACGTTGAATGATCTAAAAATGTAAGGTGGACGAACACAGTTTTCGCGCGCGCTTTTGCTGATGTAATTCAGCGCGCGCACAAGGATTGCAAAAAAAAACAAAACAAACATGCCGTCAATAGAGCGATTATTTTATTTACTCAACACCCGCACTATCTGTGCTATTTTTCTCTATAATTGAACGCAGTGTATTGATGGCTTTAGTCTTTTATTACAAAGATGTTTTAGAAAAGGTAACGATGCAAAAAACCCAGCAATTCTCAGCTTTTTCTTTGTTACCGAAAGAACCCAGTTAAATGCAGCGCATGTGTAGTAAGTCAATAAATTGCGATTGAATGAAAAATTGCACTCTCGGAAATACGCCTATTTCTCGAGAACCGCTCATCAGAATTTCACGAAATTTGGCACGAAACTACTTTAGGAAATAAGTAACTGGAGTATTGAAAATAATTGAGCTTTAACAAAGGAAATTTTAGATATTCCAGTGAACCTTCAGCAAGGGATAATTAAAGCTCTCTCTGTTAAATTATTAGCAAAATGGTGTTAACTTGTGAGAATCGTTACAAGCTTGTTGCATGCAAATTATAAAGAAAATCTAATGACTAGATTTTCTACAAATAAATGAAACGCAGGTATCAAAAACTGTGTTCAGCCATTTTAAGGGCGGGAAATTTCCACAGCAGGGTAACAATAATAGATAGCGCCTCCACGCTTTGTGCTCCAGATCACAAACTTAGTCAAGCAACCCGGTAACGCGGCTCCGTTGAAAAGTGTAAACATGTATATAGAAAGAGCTAGAAATGACTACGGTCCTCGGAAGAGTCTTACTCCAGCTCCGGAAAATTACTACTCCTCTATCGCTAGGTCTGCAAGAGGAAACGAATTTCTAAATATTGCCTCCTTGGCCATGAATGGTAGCGTGTATGCCAATCCTGATCAAGTAAAGCCAGGACAGAGAGACATGCATTTAGAACCAATGTATATCGATGTCGTCGAGAGATCCAAACCAAGAAAGAAATCCCGAAAGATAAAATGCCTTGTGGCCTGGCTGGTGATCTTGACCTTGACGTCGCTCGCTTCTTTCGCGTTCACGACCATCATCTTCTACAGCACGAGTATGGGCGCTGTGAAAGCAAAGCTAGGCGGAGACTCCGATTCACCAAAAGATAGTAAGGGCGTTCGAAATGTAATCAAAGAGGAGAGATCCCGAAAAACTCTTAATCATATAGATTTGTTCAACGTTTATTAAGGTATTGAACTTGATTATTATAATCCCAGTTAATGAGCTTATTTCCTAGAGCGGGGAAAGAGCACTGGTACTGTTTGACTTTCAAGACACTTTTGTTTTACGTTTTAAAATCTGACCATCGTTTTGTTGCTTCCATTCCGTAATCTTAGTTTCTACGAGTCAATTTTTCTCTTTTCTACTCAATTGAGAGCACCCAGCCTCGAAAAAAGTTAACACAACGTAGTATTTCCAGTTTTTCTTGTTGTCAAAGGGTAATACGAGAGCCGCAGGAAGAAGAACAATGCTAAAACATGTGTGGTTATGCAATTATACTTTGCTTCGTCACGCTACCTAACAATGTAAATGTATGTTTACAACATTATTTTAAGTGAGTATCTATTCCAAGGTGATTTTCACCAGATAAAGGAAGCTTATTTACAAAGAAAAAAAGTTTACTGCTCTTTAGCATGGTATGATTTTTGTTAGTCGAACATACGTGAGCAATTCCAACATTTTGCATTTTGTTCCCAAAGTCGTGGAACAGTTGCACTTTGTATATGTGTGTTTGTCCTAACTGCGGGGGATATCCTACACTCCTAGTTTTACACGGAGCAGCGCCAAAACATCCGTGAACTGTAATGTCTGTGTTTGTTTTCCATGTCAAAACGTTGAAAACTCTTCTATTTTTGTAAAAACGACCTACCGACCAACCGCGAGTAAATTTATGTAAAAATTGGTGCGTTAATAAATGAACTTTAAGTCGTAGTTAAAAGAAACTCAGAAACTTTTCAAAACCTAATCTTGTTTCTTTTTAGAAAACACCTTGAAAAAGTACTCGCTAAATGCCAGACTTTTATAACTCTATATAAAGAAAACTAGCACCAGGTGCCGACGTAATAGTGCAGGTAAATTGAAGTTACATTTTGATTTCGAAATAAACAATTGATTCTCCCTTCCTTTTCAAGTAGTATTATTTAAAGAAATGGAAGATATATTCTCTGTGTCTCTATTCAGTTATAGAACCACTTTTGAAACTTTGGGGACACTCGAAAAAGCTAAAGAAACACTCGCCTTCGGCTCGTGCTCGAACATCATCTATCAGGCTTTCTTCCAAACTTCCACAGGGGTCTCTATTAAACAATTAGATCAGTTATGAGCTCCAGATTTCTAGCCGGCGATAGTACACGAGAGCGCAGCCCGTGTCAACTATCACGCATAGAAATCGAGAGCGAATAATCTCCTTGTTTTAGTGTAAGCTGATCTACTAGTCGTTCAAAACTTTCTCTAAATCCTCTTCGCATGCAGACACTTCGAAAACGCCAAGAAGCGACCGACATTTTGTTAACAAGGGCACACTGCTTCGTTATTCACTATCTATCACAGAATAGATTGTGAGTAGCGTAGCCAACCAGAGAATGGCATTCGTGATAGAACTCTAGTAAGTCTTTGCTAAACCTCGATAGAAACCGCAAAAGATTTGTCAGTTTTTGAAAAATTAACCTTACGAATTACAGTATTATTTTACTGCAAACTTCCAATTTTGCACGTATCATGCTTTCAAATTTTATGCCAAACTGTCATCTGCGTGTTAAATCTGTCAATTTTCGTGGGTGGTGCAATTCAGCAAGTAGACTTTATTTCCAAGTGGAAACATTTTGTTGCTTATTGAAGGTCGGTGCTGAGACACTTCAGTGTTCATAGGCATCAGCACTTTTTGGCTTGTATCTTAAAAAAACAATAATGCTAAAAGAAAAAGGATGTTTATGTCTTAGTAATGAAGAACTCAGTAGCGCTTAATGTTATGTGTTTAGGCCCCTCCATTCTTGCCATATGGTTCTCCTATAAATTCCGAGACGATCGAGCACTGACACCAATATGGCTAGATGACCGCTCCTATACTCCGTATTCTTCAATATTAGTTTCAGTTCGGATTTCTCTAAACATCACTTTTAAATTGTCATCATGCGCGAATATTAGAAATAAGTCGATATAAATATTTTCACGCAATTTGAGAAACACTCAGAGCAAAGAACAGCTTCAAAAACAAGAGAATAAATAGGAAAATTTGTAAGAAGAGTCACCTTTCTTGCTTCGGACAAAAATTTAAAACGTGAGGGGAATATTTTTTATCAAAGCTAAATCCTTATTTATTTGTCCCAAATGAACATCTCACGATACTTACTGCTTTGCAGTAAGCAACGTTCAGAAGAAAATTAGAGGGCCTAGAGGTCTATATACACTTTTTCGTCAATACTATCTCAAAACCACTGTCTTGTCTTTTCCTACGATAAAACAGGATCATGCTGAGCAACGAAAAATGACATTATCACTTTTCAAGAGAAATTCAAGAGAAATCGCAAATGTTACAGTAGCTCAGTTATGATGTAAAACTAATGCAGCAATCTAGTCGCCTTTTAAGCTTTTAAGTGTACACCTGGTAAAACTAATTCAGATAAAAGATGTTAGTACTCCGGACGAACAAACGCTTAAAGAACCGGACTCTGTCCGTTCGATTAAAAAAAAATCGTTCGAAACCAACACGAAGTACACGGTATATGGATATAGTTGTGCAAAGCTTTGACGGGTTTTTTTCGGGACATAAATGGCGTTTTCGTGTCCTTTTATGCTAAGAAAATAATTTTATTTTTGCGTCACAAATACGTGGGTTTTGCTTGCTATATAAATAAGGCAACAAATTTAAGAAGACTAACGACCTAATAGCCATCGTTCAAAGAAACGAAGGTCAATATCGCAGTTGGGAAACAGGAGCAAATACATGAAATGTGTTTTGATGGAGAATACTTGTATCTGTGCAAGAACAGCGAAGCCGCTTTCAAAATACCGGTGTTGTATACTGTATATTGTATACTGCTACGCACGGGCGTCGACCATCGGCGATTCTAGTGCATTTGCCTACAAAAAATCGCAAGCATTCCCGATAGTCTGATTGGTTCTTTAGTTGAGGTATGATTACACGTCATACAATCACTTACTATGCTAAAATGAAGTTCATTTTAGGTTGTGTAAAATTTCGAAACTTGCAAAACCTGCTTTTAATACTTTTTTTAGTGGCAGTTCGAGATTTTGGCTGGTAGGAAAAGGAGCGGTTTTAACCAGGTGCCTATCACGTGGGGAACACGTTGAAACAGCAGGTATTAGGAAAAATGCACTGTTAGAGCTAAACCTGTTGTGAGCATAAGGTTTTCCTCACAACGGTTTGAATCGTGAATTGAACCGGTTGATCAGGCAGTGTTTATAATAGTAACCTAATCCCATTTGTTTTGTAGAGTCGGGCGACACCTTAAGGTGATTCCTTAGTATTGCAGTGCGCATTCCTACTGCGCACGATTTTCGCGCGCGTACAAAACGTAAGAGATTTCTCTGAAATTAAGCCCGATAGCGAAATAAATGCTCCTTTTCTCTTAAACGAGCACGGTGACCCCCACTTTTTGTTTCATAATTTCAATGAGAACAGTATCCTCAATAACTGAGAGAAAAATTATCAGAAATCTATGGCTACCTTTTTCGCAAATGAAATAAATACTGAAGAGGAAGACATAACGGGCCCAATAGCGCACGTCCAAGTTATGTTTCCTTTAAAGGATAAAAAATGCAGGGTATTTGAAGACATTTTTTCTGGTACGTAGATAAGTAAATAATCAAAGAAAGTCAAACTCTGTGTGGTATACCACGCTGCATTGGAAAATAATCAAGCTTATTTGATGCGCGTGGATATTACCGAAAGTCGCCTAAATAACCGTATTTGTCAGCTTTGTGGCGTGAAAACAAGCACGGCGACCCCCTCTTTTTACTACGTTTATAATACCTCCTTGTCCTGTAACAACAGCATACCAAGTTTCATGTGAAATCTACGGCGGGTTCTTCTACTAGGGAATCACCTTAATACTTGGGTATACCCTGTACGGGTCCGCAAATGATCCCAGGACCGCAAATGATCCCGGGCCGCAAATGATCCCCAAATTGGACCGCAAATGATCCCGGACCGGAAATGTTCCCCATATTGGACCTCAGATCGTGGTAAAAGGCATCTGATTTGGGACTCACCTTTTTCACGATACGTTCGATTTCCTGTTGGATTGACCATGGTGGTGCTCAACGTTGAACTAAAATCCGATCGAGCCGCCTTAAAGTAATTATAGCTCTTAGTTTTGTGTCTTTTTTTGGTACAATATCTTTAAGGGGTGAAATAAAGCGTAACCCACGCCCGGCTTGGTCCCCTTGAGAAGGCAAAACAGACGCAGACTGCATGTCGCAGGCTGAAGTTTGTTTCAATTGAGGCTAAATGACCGGCAGTCGGTCAAGGTTTTAAAATCACTAAATGACCGGCAGTCTGATATTTTTCTCAAATTTAAGGAATCGAAGGAACCCATCCAATTCAAACTACCATATGTCGATTAAGAACTGCCAAGCGATCCAGAAGAGCTGCATAGATCGCAAGTCTAACACTTGGTTTACGCTCGGCTCATGGTTTGTGACACTCACGATTTTTCTGGGTCGACTGCCGGTCGCGGTTTTCAAATCACTAAATGACAGGCAGTCCGATATTTTTCTCAAATTTAAGGAATCGAAGGTACCCATCCCAACCCAAGCGATTCAGAAGAGCTTTATAGATCACAAGTCTAATAAACGCTTGGTTTACGCTCGGCTCAGAGAACTAGACCATGGTTTGTGACACTTTAATTTCTTTTAGGTCGACTGCCGGTCACGGTTTTCAAATTACTAAATGACCGGCAGTCCGAGTTTAATGAATCGCGGGAACCGATCATGTACAAGCTATCTTACAATATGTCGACTGAAAAGTTTCAAGCGACCCAAAAAATTTTTTCTACATTATAAGTATGAGAATAGATGGGTTCCTTCGATTCCTTAAATTTGAGAAAAATGTCAGACTGCCGGTCATTTAGTGATTTGAAAACCGTGACCGGCAGTCAATCTAAATAAATCCTAAGTGTCACAAACCATGGTCTCGCTCCCTGAGCCGAGCGTAAACCAAGCGTTAGACTTGCGATCTATACAACTCTTCTAGATCGCTTAGCAGTTCTTAATCGACATGTGATAGTTTGAACTGGATGGGTTCCTTCGATTCCTTAAAATTTGAGAAAAAAAAATGACCGTATTTGTCAGCTTTGTGGCGTGAAAACAAGCACGGTGACCCCTCTTTTTACTACGTTTATAATATCTCCTTGTCCTGTAACAACAGCATACGAAGTTTCATCGGAAATCTATGGCGGGTTCTTCTACTAGGGAATCACCTTAATACTTGGGTATGCCCTCTTGGTACTATTTGTGAATTTCATACCCGAAGTCATATTCACTTACTTTGATGATTCCTGTTGTGGCTACGATACGCTTCAGTATTTGACGAAGTAATGATTAATAACATATTTGTAGGCAATTTTGAAAAACCAATGACCTACAAAGGTAAATCCTCTATGTTTTATGTATTTTAAGGCGGTGGGTACCCAGGGTGCCACAGGGGTTTCCGCGAGAGCGACGATAACTTTCAGTAATGGTTGACGACGTTTTGTTGAGAATTTCAAAATTCTATTGTTGTTTTGCAGATGAGAGTCCTTCACTGGAAGTAAAATCCTCAGGTTATCCTTTACGAGAAGACTTACTCGACAGAATGGACCAGATATCCAAGAATTTGACGTTTCTACAAAAGAAAGTGGTAAGACGAATTCCAATAAAATATTAGATATAATTGATTACTCTTCTGCCTGTGATTTAACATCTATCTTAATCAAAGTTCATAATTATGTGTGAGTCTTTATCCTTGTACCGGTCCTAAAATGACCAAGATGTAGTCGTCACGAACATTTTAACTTTCTGAAAAAAATCTCTTTGGCAACCATATGTGGCAAACGAAAAACCGAAAAAAAATGCCTTGGAAGGTTAACAAATACTAGAAATCAGGCCCTTTTAAGATTATCCTTGGAATCTTAGTGTTTTCGATAACGTTAATTAAGGTGGCTTACTCTAGTTATTCTGAGACTCGCTAGCGCGTACTACGATTGCCTGCCAGATTCAGTAATATTCACGCGTGCACAAATGGCGCAAGTAACGCTAATTAAGAAAAAACCAAAACAACTTCAGTACTTGAAACGCGTTAAAAACCTTTGGCATACATAGCGATAGTTTTAAATTGCTTTAAAACCAGTGTTCAAGCCTAGCACGAATGAAATATGACAAAAAAGAAATAAAAAAAAAACTGGTAAAGGAGTTCTTATTTACTCTTGCTTTCTCGCACGCGATATATGGCGTCACATGAGCACGCGCTTAAATGAAAGGTATACGCGGGTCAGTTCCCGCGCAAAGCTGTAAAAACCTGTCAGTGATCCATGATTACTCAACGACGTACCAGACAACCCGTGATGAAATTTTCTCAATTGATTTGCAGTAGTGAATCGTGTTCAAAACCACCTTTTAAAATAACTCTGTAAGGCAGTTTTTGAGCTATTTTTGAAATAGGCAAAATTTCACATTTTTCTTTAATATCCATGGATGTTTAACCAGATTTCTAATACCTGAAACTTTGAGGTGGGGTAATACGGATAGATTTTGAGAAAAACGGGATTAAAATTTCTATAGTCCAATCTCTCCTGGGCACTGGGTCGTTTATTTTGGCCATTTATTACAATAACGTTTTAATTGTTCAAGTATCACATAACGTGGTAAAAGACTTCACAAGACGGTAATTACAGCAAGGATTAAAATCTAAGAAATTTTCCGAAAGAGTTAAAAGCTTAACGAGAAGAACAAGAGGAAGACATCACGTCTTATAGCCACATCCGACGCACTAAAAATCATTTTAAAAATGAAAAGTAAATGTATAAAAACTGTGTAAAAAATCGCGGTAATTCTCAAATTACCCAGACTAGTTAAACGCTTGGCTTTTATAATCCATCAGTCTGTGGTAAGATACCTTTAACACGGCTCAGCATGATGGCTGAGAATTGGAGAAATACAAGATTTTAAGAGTTTATTATTTCTATTTTAGGCAAACGTTACCAAAATGCCCGGACCAAGGGGGCCACCAGGATTCACTGGCTCTGCGGGAAGGCAGGGCCCTCGTGGCTATAACGGTAGCAACGGCACACCTGGAGCACCCGGAAAACGCGGGGATCGTGGAATCCAGGGACCAGTGGGACCCCCGGGGCCCCCAGGAGTTAATGGCACTAGAGGTGAAAGAGGCGCTATGGGATCTCAAGGACTAGTAGGTCCGAAGGGGACTGGAAACTTTAGCTCTTGTACTCACCACAAGGAAGAAAGCGGTGGAGCGAACACGGGAACACATAATGACGTGTACGTTGATGAAGGGACGGTAAGCACATGTTTTTTTACGTTATTAACGTTGCTTCTAGAATTCTGACTTTCACTTTCTATAAAAAGCTTTTTGCGAAAAAAAAAAACACTAAACTATTGGCATAAAAAGGACAGTTATCTCAGAAAACAGATGATATTTATTGTGACGTCGTGTAATCGTGTAATGTCACCTTTGCTGGGGTTATACTTTAGATGTTTTTACTCATGAGACCTTTCTTGACTGTTGTGAAAGTAAACGGCCACACAAACGGCAAAAGAAATCTCCAAATAGGGTTATCTTGTTTTATTACCAGCAAACAGAGCTCATCCAAAGCAACAAGTAAACTTTATAAATCATTTGTGATAAAGGAGTAAAGATGCATCAAGTACATCACGGAGCGCGCCCATCTATTAGCTGTTGACAAGAGAAAATCAAGGTTAAAGCGGAGTTAATCCCCCATATTGGCCTTGTACGCGAGGTCGTGGTACTAAATTCCTTCCACGGATTTTACTCGCGGGCGGTGCGTGGACGGCCCAAGCGGCTTCACGCGCAAGCATTTGTTTATATTATGTGTAAAAGAGAAGGAAACCTCCAACGCTGTGGGGAGGTCTTCTTTAATATTGAAACAAAGGAGCTGCGGCAATCGCTCGGTTTTAAAACATTTCGAGACCTTAATAGGAGTTTAAGTAAGAAACAGATGTTCTCGCCGAAACAATGAGAACTGAATGAACGGCAGAGAAATGAACAGCCATACGAGCGCAAAGTAAACAAACGCCCAAACACAGTGCAACCGAACAAACAGATGGTCGAAAGTGTAGCATTGTACGTCTTTGTTCCTATGCAAGAGAGAGTCGCTGTAAACTTCTTGTTTCATATTAGTATTATAATTAATTTAATCTGCCGAAGTGGAAGTAACTTTAGCTTGAACTTTCTCAAACTTAAGTATTATAACCAATAAAACCTCTCTCGTTCTCGGTAGAACTACCCCACGAACCAAAGTTTTTCATCTGCCTTGATTGTGAGCTTGAAACTTCAAATGTTAAGGAGATGTTTGTTTTGAGGACTCGCTGTCCACCATTTTTGGTCCAATTGCATCCTCCACGTCTCCTCCAAGGAAACATCCACTTAAGGGGCTGATAACATCCTCGGAAGAACAGGGTACCATATAATCTAAAAGTAACTTAAGAGGTGTAAGTCCAATATGGGTAGTAAATCTTTTTCCTTGATCTTCTCTTGCTATTGAATGTTTCATCCGATGCCACAAGGAATCCAGTATAATTTCGTTGTGTGAGCACGTTGTTGTTAATTTTTGCAGAAAAACAAGATTATAAGTGCGACCTGTTATTCAAACGATGCCATCAGCTATGATCTTACAAGCGAGGAACTATCATCGGGAAGGTATAGATACAAGTGCACGTGCAATGGAACACGCAATAACCCGCAAGCGTCAAGGATGTTTTGTATCATAAACTACTGGCAGTGTGAACTTTGAACTCATCCATGAAATGGGTGTATTTTAAAGGGGATCCTAAGGTGGTAAATCATCCTTGATTCAAATGTTCACTGTAATGACAGCATTGATTGTTAGCTGAGTATGTGATGTCCATAATTATCAATAATATTTGCCACTCCTTTACAATGCAGTGATTAGGTAACACCATGGGGACCATTCTCCTCAAGAGAGTTCCTCTGTTCTAAAGAAAAGGCACAGTTAATGACCGAATTTCCCACCCCCCACACCGCCCAAATATGCAACTCAGCTGCAAGGTTACTTCCCAAAAAGGCTGGTCAGCTCGAATAAGCACTCCTCCAACACGTCCTCTCCTTCAGGTGTTCTTCGTTTAGACCTTTGTCATGCGCAATTGACGATGTGTCATTAAGGAAAATATAATGCTTCAGTGTACAGATATCAACAAATGCGTAAAAGTTATTTAGTTGATAGCTTCTTGGGAATCACGTTCTTCTAATTACGTTCCCAACTTTATCCTTTATGTGAGCTCGTTTTGACAATGTTTTAGCTAAATCCGTTTCGAAAATTTGAATACAAAAAGAAATGCGCGGCAAGTATTGTTTCCTTTTGTTTGCAATTTTGGCATAAGCCAGTTAGGTCAATTTTTTTGAATAGGTATTGTTCGGGCAAAAAACATTTGTTATGACCACTGGAATCACTTTTATAAAGCTACAAGTTAAGGAAAACCAAGACGAACTCTCCCGGGAGTAATAATCATGATTATAATATATTATAAATTAACGAATATCACGTAAATATATTTAATCTAAATAATTAATTTTTGCTCATCAAACACAATTGGTCGGACGGCTTTAATTGAGAAGACTAGTTACTTTCTGTATATTTGATGAAGACCAATTATATTTTTCTGTAAAAATTATCTTCAGATTTTCCATTCTACTGAAGTTTTGTTTTAGGCAATTAACCTCGTAAATTAAAGACTATTGTAGGTAGGCTCACATTTGTGGGATAGTATTTGTAAATAAGCAGAAATTGACATATAAGCAATCCACCGTAGGAAAAAAAATGGCGGTTGTACATTTTACCACAATACCTTGAGAACCTAACACAGCCTATATGGCAAAAGGATAGCCACATTTGTACAATATTTGTTCCTGTACTAAGGACATTGTGTAGCCCAGGTTTGAAGATTTTATAACTTTTCTGTACGTTTTTACGAAGGTGGTTACGGTTTTCTTGCGCTAAGAAGTATAGGTAAATGTACCAGTCGCCATCTCTTTTCCTACGAGGGATTGAAATAGGACATTTTTTTAGTCTGAATATTGTGAAAGTTTCAGAAGCTATAATAAGACGCACTTTTAAAAGGGAAGGGTTTTAGATACAGAGTTTTTGCTATTGTTCAATTATATGTAAAAAAAATCTTAATCTATGTATAGTTACTTCAAATTATTTAATTTTAACAAAGATTGTACAAATTATATTAAAGGTTTTCTTGACAAAGTAAAATATTAAATGATGTGAATTGTAGTAAGGTGTATTTTGTTATCTTTTTATTTAGTGTAGAAGTACAGTGTTTTAAAGTGTTTTCTCTCTGTAAGTATTCCGTGGTTTCGGATTTCTGGGATATTTTTGCATTTGCCATGGAAAATCAACTTTTCAACTTCAACATCTCTCAAAATGTCCTAACTTTCTGTTTGCTTGCCTTTCTGAAAGCATCTGTCAACATTTTCGCCCAAATTGTTCCAACATTTCATTAACCACAGAGAAAGTTATTACTATAACATGTTTGTGTTCATTTGGCAACAACGGGGCCCTTATAGGCCTTATAGGCCCTTATAGGCCTTACTGCCAAAGTCATTCTCAAGTTAATTTCACCGATGTTACGTGCGTGGAGGCGTGAAAAGTCTGTCCACGTGAGCAAATTCCTGTGTGAAGAATTTTGCTCTATTTCTGGAGCCCCCTGGATTTTCAAATTCGGGAATGATCCTCAAATAGCTTTAGAGAAATTGCCATGGAAAAGGGCCCATTTGGAGATTAACTCTCCTATAACCTTTCCTCCCGCCTTGGATCTATTGGGTACACCGTGATACAACAACAACAACAACAGCAACAATCTTTAGTTGTACTCTTTTCACTCCAGGTTTCCTCTTTACTTTGCTTGAAAGTGTAATGTTACACTGTTTACATAGCCCCAAGCCTAAAAAAACTGGTTAACCACATTTGCTAATCCCATAATAACTACACTGGCAAAAGAAAATAACATGCATGGAAATTCTACATCCTACTGACAGATACGTATACCCATCTGAAGAAATGGCGATTATTTTAAGTATAAAAACTCAGAGCTGATATTATGGTAATTATTAGTAGGCTTCCGTAGCCAGGCTACAGTTAATGGTTACTGGTATTTCCTCGTCACTTAACATTTTAGATCACTTTCGTGTATGAGTGTATTAAATAGCAAAGAACGTTTTACTTTAAACAGCTGTTTGAAAGAAATACAGTCATGGAGATTTTGTTGCATGTTACATGTTCTTCAAAGCACTGCTAAATTTATGAATGAATACCTTCAATCGTACGTAAAATGTTTCAAAAGCACCTAAAATAAAGATATTAGGTAAGTGTTTTTTTAGTAACACTGGGAAATGTTTTTAACCTTGATTATTAAATTTATAGTTAGATTGCAAGTGAATATTACCTGAATTATGCCTTTGCCGAGTTACTTTTTGCATCCGTGAACGAGTCTTGAAAAAAAAAATGAAGTTGTATAGGCGGAACTCATTTTCATATGAATGGTTTCACACAAAGACTCGTTTTGACACAGACTCAGAGGCAAAAGGTAACTCGGAAATGGCCTACTGGGCCACCAGCAAAACCATTATTTTTAGTCGTCATTTTATCTTCTCTTAAATGGGACAATTGGAGCAATGAACTTTTTAATAACAAGGTTCACACTTCAAGCTGTCTCAATTGTGCAAATGGTAATAATAAAAAAAGAGTTACAGCTCGAGATAGCTATTGTATGCGCTGTCGTTATGATGTGTGTAAGAGCTCGATGGACGCTATAGTAGCGTTCCCTCAAACCCATTTTATTCCCTCAAACCCATCGGTTTAAGTATCGAATATCGACTTACTAATATTCGAATAGTTTTTTTTTTCTGAATTTCATAGGACACAGGTAATCTCACAAGATGTCTGTGTTTAGAGGTTAATATTGGCGGCTACTTTGGAGACCTTCACTGAGATCGACTTAGAGAATTTTTTTTAGAATTTATGGTTCAGAAGTCGAAAAGATTTAAGTGAAGCGCCACCAACTGAAACAGAAAATATTTTTGCGTGTACAACTCCTCGGCGTACTTTAAAGTAATGTCGTGTTTTTTTTTCGTTACGATAATATATTTCCTCCTAACTAGCAGGCAATATTAGTCTCTTACCAACCGAGTGCGAGGGCCGCCGGGTGATTGGACAATATTGACCGAAGTCGAGGCGGTACGGACCGAGCGCAGCGTGGTCCGTACAAAAACGACCGAAGTTCAATATTTCTCCAGTACGGCTGGAGCAAACTAGGTTAGTACGTAGTTTAGTAAGTGAATTTATCGGTTTTCGAAAACAAAAAAAATACAGGGCTAATGACCGTTTCCATGAGAACGGTTCGTAAGGCAAAATCTCGACAAATTGAGAACCAGTCAGAACGCTAGGATCTACTTCGAGAAGCTTCAAAACTACCTCGCCTTATGGTTAAATGTAGTATCGCATTAAGCTTATAATAAACATCCCAGGAGTTTTTCAGCAGACGACAAGCAATCTCTATTTTGCTCGAAGATCGGCTAGGGAAGAACGTTCTTCCCCGCGGACTTTTGAACAAAAGAGAGACTGTGTTCGCAGTCTATTTCTTTGGTGTTCATACTTTTATGAGTTTGGCAGTAACAATTGCTTTTTAAGCCAATGTTTGAAAGGAATTTAATTCAAGTTAATTGAGGGTAGATGTTATAAAGATTCAATTGAAAACCAAAATACTATTTAGTCAAGTTTGTGGACTTACTGAGTCGATCCTCCACTAATGGCCACCTCTCTACAACGGCTACATTTTTTGTCTACGCGGACGGTCGAGATGTTCAATCTTATTTTAACCTTTCTGCAACGGCCACCTCTCCACAACGGCAACGGCCACTAAAACCTCGTCCCCAACAACCAAAATAACCTCTCGACAACGGCCAGTTAACCAACCAGTGACGAACGATGTACACCAAAACCCATGTTTTGTTGTAAAAGGTCACAAAACTGACTTGATCTGTACCACTCGTCGTTGGTCTTTGTTTCTGTTT